GGTCGAAGCCGTACCAGGGCTTTGGCCCACAGGAGAGGGAAAGGGGTTTGTGTTGCTCGCAGCCCAAGAGTGCGATCACTCTCTCCAGCCGGGCGAGGTTGTTGCGGAAGTGCGTTCCGGCCTCGTTAGCACTGCGGCCTGTGGGTGTGGCGCGGTTGAGACGGTGTTCGAGTCGGAGCCGTCTCCGCAGGCATGTGCGGATTGTGGGGTCGCCGTTGCATCGGTTGACCACGACCCGTGCTTTGCTTGCGGGTCCGCGTCCAGGGCCGCGGCAAGAAGCTTCCAAGGTTGTTCCTCGTGTGCGCGGTCCTTTGGGCGGCTGCGTACCGGCGCCAGGATCGGTGTGCTATCGGTCCTTGCTGCGGTGACTGTTCTCGCTTCGGTGTGGGGCGGGAGCGGCCCGGTTGGGCGCCCTGTAGAGGAGCCTGGAGTGCTTACTTGCTTGGACCACCTTCCAAGCGTCGACAGCTGGTGGGAGGCGCCGGGTGGTTACGCGTCTGTGTGGGGTAGGCGCCCTGCGCAGCAGGACCTTGGGACCCTGGCGGTCGAGAAGGCGCCTTACGAAACGTGCTTGCTTCAGCGCGTAGGTGAGGCGTGGCGTCTCTGGGACACGAGGGATTTGCGTGTGGCGGAAAGCGTTGCGTGTAGCGATGAAGTTCCCGTCACCGAACGCCTCGCGGTCTTTAGGACGCGCAAGGGGCCACGCTGGGCTGGCTGGCGTGAGGGATCGGCCACGGCTGGAAGAGGCGCAAGTGACGCTGTGCGCCCAGCAGACGCGGTCGACGCGGCGCGCTGCCCGAGCTATCATATCGTGGAGAGCTGGGACATCGATAAGATGATCGAGGAGCCTCCGACGGACTATTATTATGAGCAGCTCGCGGCAGATATGCGCGCCCGGCACCCTAAGGCGTGCCCGCACCTACTCGACCACCTCGTTTCCTTAGAGGGTTTCCTAGACAAGTCAATCTTGTTTGGGTTCTCCTTTGGAATCAGCAAGGCCGAAGTTTGTGTCTCCAAAGGCAAGCTCCTGGGACACAACATTGGGCGGGACGGGAGTTCGCCTGACGAAGAGCGTTGTCAGGCGGTGATTGACTTTCCCCCGCTCTGGGAGAAGCTTCACATTCAGCAATTTTTGGGTTGCGCAAACTGGTTGCGCGGCTACCTGCCTGTTGAGTATGGGCACGCAGCCAAGATTTTAGGGCAGTGGCAGAAGCCAGGCGCCGTCTTTCCTGAAGGCGGGCTGGGCTCAGCCGCCACCGAGGGTTGCAAAGCCTTTAAAGCGATCAAGCGCATGATGCAGAATCGCATCAATTTGGCTACCTTCGATGAGGCCTCTGCTGCGGATGGGTCGTGTCCCCTTGAGCAGATCGCGGATGCGTCGGGCATCGCGGTAGGGGGCAGCGTCGTGCAGATGACGCGTGACTTGAGTCAGCTCAAGGTGCTTATGACGCACTCAAAGAGCCTGACCCCCGCGCAGCAGAACTGGCCGCCCTTGATACAGGAGGCGTTTGCTCAGCTCGAGGTAAAGCGGGCGACACGCCGCATGTTTGGCTCTATTCGGACTCTGTGTTGGACAGATCATGCCAACCTTACCCGAGCGCAAACGTCGGACATCGGAATGGATCCGAAACTCGTCCGGTGGGTTGCGGAAATCCTTATGGATGGGTCCGAAATAATTAATTATAAGGAGCCTTAGCGGTCGCTCAGCGACGCTGGGTGACAGTTTTAGCCGCAATCCCAAAGATCGGGATGCGCTCCTTGCGGCGAGGACGAAAGATCTCGAGGGCTTTTCGGGCCAACTCAGAGGTTTCGACCTGGACCAGTACCTCGGAGAGGGTACTGAGGGTGACGGACCCGTGCCCTGGGCGGTCGGCAACGACGCCGTCCCAGAGCCTGCGGGCCGTGTCCAGGCCGCGGCTGTGCCGATGTGCGTCGTCGCAGCCCTTCCGGTGCGCGTCATGGTTGTCTTTGACTACGCGCGTTGGAAAGAGCAGGACGCAGAGCTGACTGAGATCAGGCGCGTCTTCCAAGCGAGCCTCCCTGGAGTTTCTGTGGCTGTCAGGGGTTGTTGGGGTCCGTTTGAGGATACCGACGGGCTTGCCTCGCATTTTGATTGCGGGGCCGGCAGGCTCGCAGGGACCAAGAAGATCAAGCGGATCAGGGTCGACTTGCTCACTTCGTGTGCCAAGGTTCTTAGGGAAGCTTCGGGGTTTCGTCCGCAGTTCCTCGTAGGACTTGGACAAGGCGGGCTTGTCACAGCCGTCCTTAGGTGGCCTTTGGTTGTTGAGCTCACGCTCCAAGCAAGGAACCTGCAGCGCAAAGAAGCCAGGGCTGTAGGAGAGGCTTGGGCAGGCATCAAGGCTATCTGGGCGGTGCGGCCACGCCTTTGGCGCACGCAGCAAGGCCACTTGGAAGTGGCCGAGGCTTGTCCGGAACTCAAGAAGGATTTTCCGGAGCCTCCCCTGCGAGGTTTTGGGATAGTAGGGAAGCAGGCATTGGGGGCGGAGGTTCTGCGGTCCTTGAGGCTGGACGCGGTTCGTTCCATTGATGATGCCAGCATTAGAGGGATGCTGGACGAACCGTCAAGACCCCTCTGGGACCATGAGGGTCTGTGCATCTGCGGCAAGCGGACCTACCTGTTTTCTCGCTGCCCAGCCTGCATCGAGAAAGAGGCAGTCGATACCTCGGTAGAGATAGCCGAGCGGGAGGAGCCCGAACCTCCGCTTGAGGGCGACCTTGAGGCCCATGAGGTGGGCCTAGAGGTCAACTCCGTCCTTGCAACCTTGGATAGGACAGGAGGTTTGTTTAGGGTTAGGTCCTCAACCATCCAGCAATGGGCGGTAGGGTTCAGGACTACGCCCAAAGATGCTCCAGTTCCCACAGCATATGGCATGCTGAGTGGGAAGATATGGAAGAAGAGCCATTCCATGAAGCTCAGCCTCGGCTCCCAGCACAAGGATCTTCCCAAGTGGGGCGATGTGAAGCCTTACTGGACCACATGGGTGGTTAGAGAAGATGGTGCTGTGGTGGCGGGGCACAACTGCTCGCCCCTGGATGCGGTTCAGGGGGACATCGTCGTGCATTGGTCGTCAGTGGTGAACTGGCACGGCCACAGACATGTCGTGAATGAGCAGTGCGAAGTGCTCTGGAGGTCTAAGGGCAAAGAGGTTGCCTTAGACCCCTCCTTCGGCAAGCTGATAGCCCTTGTGGGTAGGGTTACTCAGGTCATTGGCTGGCGGGCAACCGGAGAAGCCTCGGATCCCCGCGGTTCTACCCGGCAGGCGTCAAGGGTCCTTGCTCAATTCTCTGCGTCCAATGAGGGCGTAGAAGGGCATTGGACCGCGGGCGCTATCAGTCGCGGGAAGAATGCCAATGAGTGCGAGCCGAAGGGTAGAGTTTTGGCGTTTATGGGTGAGGAGCACAAGGGCCCTGCTGTGGTTCTCGAGCTCGTCAGCCATAGCCCCATCCTGTGCATTTGGGACCATTCCTCAACCAAAGTCAAGGTCGAGTTTAAGGGCGGTGTTCCGTCTTTGAGCCTGGCCGCGGGGGAGGACGAAAATCGTCGCGAACAGCTTGCGGTCGAGGCGAGGGACGCGGCGAACATTTCGGAGTTCCGAGTCACGGGATCCCTTCGTACGGCGTGGTACGAGGGCCAGCGGCGCGATCCCTCATTGGCGGGCTCGATTCGCAAGCCGGAGCCGCCGATGGTGATATCCGGAGACGGGTTGCTGGAGCGCGAGGTGACCCTCAGGACGGGTCAAACCGTCGTCGTCCCAGTGGTTCCCAACGGGGCTGCGGGCGCGAATGGGGTGACCTGGCGCCGCGCCTGCTACAATTCAGTCCACTGTGGAGTCCTTGGGGCCCATAGGTCTGCCGAGGTTACCATCAAACTGCTGGAGAGGGCAGTCTGGTGGCCCGATTTGGAGAAAGATGTGCGGACCTGGGTCGCCAAGTGTCTCGCCTGCATTAAAGGCCGCTCTCGACCGACGAAGGTTGAAGCTCGTGCGGTCAAGTGTGGCGCCGAGACATGCTGGCAGGAAGTCAGCGTGGACTGTGAGGGTCCGAACCGAGAGGACAGGGAGGGGCATAGGTACTCGCTTACGTACTTCGATTGCCTCAGTCATGCTGTTCTCCTCGAGCCGATGAGGTCTCTGACTCATGCGGAAGTCAGGAGGGCGTTCGTGCGCTGTGTGCTTCGCAGCAGGACGATCCCGAGCCTCATCAGGTCGGACAGAGGGCCAGAGTTCAAGAACGCGCTCATGGCAGAACTCAGCGCGATGCTTGGGACCGAGTGGCGGTTCAGCGCGCCCTTGAGGCCTTGTGAGTTGGGCGCAAACGAGCGAGTCCACCAAGAAGTTCAAAAGGTGCTGGGGGCGGTCGTCAGACAAGTCGGCGCCTCCCTTTCCGAAGCTTGGTCGGATTGGCTCGTGGTGGCGGAGTACGTCATAGATAACACTCCGGGACCCCACGGGTATACCCCGAGGGACCTAGAGCGGAG